GTGTGGCCCACCTCTGCCCTGCCATATATGCCTCTGAGTTGGAGACATTGGTATAGGGATTGGGGTGAGGTAGAAAAACTAGTGTGCCTGGATGCGAGTGTTCTCTTGGCAGGGGGACGGGGGGTGGCTTGTGATATCCAGGAATGAGTGCCAGAACTTGCAATCTCCTGCACTTACCATTAAACAAGGAAAGCAACAGAAAAGAGGAACATTGGAAAACAAATAAGCTGAACAAAGAAGTTCAGCACGGGAAAAATGGCAAAACATGGAGAGCAAGGCATCACCTAGCTACTTACGTAACGTGAGCCGTTGGCGCTTTGGAATCTTCTACTGGCACACAGTTGCTGGTGTGCGCTTTGGGACTACGACTGTGCTTGGCAGTGGTAGCAGCTGTTTCCCGATTCAGACCCCTGTATCAGCCTTAGCTGCTGCAGTGCAGTAGATGTGCTGCTAATACACACCTTCTGGTCTGGTGCCACCAGAGAAGGAATCTCACACACTAAAATCATTAATTGCTTAATAAAACTGGTGTGCTGAAGGAGGGAACAGTTGGAGGGAAAGCGCTTCAGAAGAACACTTCTGCTCCCAACTAAAATATTAATTGTGTAATTACAATCAGAAAAGCAAACATGTCTGAGCAAAGCCTGCATCCAGAGGGCTGTGCTCTGTCTCTGCAGCAACGTGGTGCCTTTTGGAGGCATGCCGGCTAGTTGCTTGGCAATGATTCCTTATCTGTTTCCCTCAGTGGCAACGCCAGATGAAACTTATTCCTGAAGTTCTTGTTCCTTGTGTTTGTGGCTGTGCACAGGCTTCTCAGATGTGCTGATGCAATTTTCATGGAGATGCACAGTGAACCTCAGGGCACAGCAGCCTGCTAGGAATAATCCTTCCCCAAAAGCATCAGAATGCAGGTGCAAAACCCGATTTCTCCTGGTGATATCTGTGTTTCTTGTTATACCTACTATGCTTGTAGTATTCGGCCAGTTTGGATATTGCAATGCAACACTCCACTCTGCCTTTCCAGCGTATTCTCAGAAGAGTTGTTCCCTGAGAACAGCTGCCACACAGAGTAGCTGGACACGGGAAGGATAAGAACGGTGAAAGAGGCAATGACTCAGGTGGATTTCCCAAGCTTCAGTAACAGTTCTACTCTCTTTGTAACAGGGCGGAGAGGACCGAGGCCAACTTGCCAAGAGACAGTCAAGAGAGACTGCAGGAAAGACCTCACATAGTAAGTGCAGTGTGATGAGCTCCCTGGTCTGGATAAAATAGGACCTTCTTGGTATGTCTGAAACTGGGAGAAATTCCCTAAAATGAAACCTGAACAAGAAACTTGGAAATCAGGTAGTTGCAGGGGAGTAGGAAAGAGACTTGCTTTGCAGGTGCACATATGCGTTCAGCCACAGTGTTAAAAGAAGGAATGAGGATGGTGGTTAAAGTGCTCTGGGAGATGAGCCGTTTACCTAAATACTTACTGCTGGCCTCTGGAAAGTGATTCCCTGTCCTTGAAACATCCTGGCTGTTCATTCTCAGAACCACCACGCCCTTTCAGTCCTGCCAGCATAGCAGTTTATAGGACTATGTAGTGATTCAGGGCAAGGATTGATTGCAAATAAACTCTGACATTTTCCAAACTGGTGTTAACCCAGATCATTTAGTACAGAAGAATCCTCTCTATAGATTAACCTGATGCCAGCAGCACCTAGCAGAAATGCCGAAATAGAAAACATGCTATTTTTACAGGCTATTGCAGTAAACTACCTGTGGCAAACAGATTATGTTTGTTCTTCAGACTATGGGATAGTCTTTAAATGCATTTATTTTGGCTTTGAGGATGCTCTCTTGAACATTTCCTTATAGCTTACTTGTCAGTTGAAATGTGCATTGTGTAATCTTGAAGATTAAAACAGAAAAAGCTGTGGCTTGTTTCCTTGTGATCAATGTAAAAGGACTTCCTATAGGTAAAAGCTTTAGCAAAAAGACCTGAGCACATGGGTTTTAGACAGGCAAAGTTTGTAAGGGTGATATAACGCATGGGACTTTAAAGTTAAAGGTTATATCTCTGTATCCTCATTTCCTAGAAATATGTCTTAAATGCAACAATAAAAATACATTCAACTAGCACTGTTGGATTTCTCAAATATATCTTTTGTCTTTATTGGGATGAAAATTGTACAGAAATTGTTGATACTGACAAAGCTTGGGTAATGATTTTAAATATTTTGGCCCTACCCTTCCAAGCTCAGATGTTTAAAAAATGCCTGCATGCAGGTAGTGCTGTTCAAGGTGGCTTGAGCCAGGCTCATGGCTCACCACCACTGAAAGTAGGAGGTCAGGCTCCTGTTCCTCCTCTTCTTTTTACTCACATCTGCATCTTCACTCCCAGATTTTCTTTGAGCTGACTTCAATGCTTCACCGAGGCAATTCAATTCACAGACTCAGAAAAAAAGTAGATTGTTTTTCTTCAGAGCTAGTGAGTTGAATTGGCAAAGCAGCTGGCACAGGGCTAGTGGGCAGAAGGGAACAGGAAGGGATGAGCAGGAGACAGGAGAAAATTTCCTATTTTGGCAACAATGAGCTATTAGAGCTCAGCTGTCTTGTGCATTCTCACTCTTAGTAAAGAAACAGGGCTGGTGCAGAAGTGACAGTGCAACCATGCTCTGTTACTCCGCAGGTGAGCCAATTCTGAAAAAGCAGTTTAATCCAGTGCATTGGACTGGGAATGAGGTGTCAGCGCTCCAGTGCTGGCTCTGCCCATGGTGCAGTTTAAGACACTGGAAATATAATTTTGTTCCTTTCTGTCTGCTCCTCTTAATGGGAAATAATAGCACTGACGTGCCTTGTAAAGTCTGACGGCGTCTCTGAATAAGAAATGCAGCTATCACTTCTCCTGACCTTTATTTTCCCACTTGAACTATGTGTAAGTTACTAGTGGACCAATGTATGTGTATGTCAATGTACATACCAGTGTGTACCCTGGGGGATTATCATCACCTGAGGCTGCCTGTATCCCAAGTCATGCATATACTGTGACCCTATTACATGAAAGTGGGGACAGGACTTGGGCTTGGAAGAGAACTCAGTAAGGCTGCCCTGAAGGAGTCAGTAGCATGGTCTGTGGGTGCACACCTTTCCCATGGAGATCAGAACTTCCTTCTGCTCTGTACGAGCAGAGAGGGGAAGGATGGTTATGCTGCTGGCCTGGGATGTGACCACTAATCTGCACTGTAATGCTGTGTCCTTCTTGTGTGACCTGGGGGAAGTAATTTGGGGACAGTCACTTCAGGCCTACATACTTTACAAATACTTGCCCTTAATTTCCCCATGTTTCTCTTCCTTATCTGAAAAGTGACTTTCAAGAATTTTATGTCACACAGGAGTCACATGGGAGATAAGTGGCCTGAGATAAATACCAAAGGTAAGACTGCTATTTGAAAACCAACTGAATGGGAATTGAAAGTCTCTAGACTTTAATGGTCTAGAAAATAAATCTTGGTTTTCATTGCATGGCTCTGGTTAATCAGCATGTTATTTTAAGTTCTGGGGACTAAACAGTCTTTTTTACACTTTATCTGAACTGACATTAACATGACTGTCTGAAACCACAAGTATCTGTTTGGTTTAGCTCTTCTGTGATATGCTGTAAATCCAAACTGGTCCTTAAATGATCTCTCTGCTTGCCTGGAGGCCTTCAGTTATTTGTTCTAACACCTGGACCACTGTGTGACACTATTATCTCTCTTTGTATGCATGAAAAGCTAAAAGAAAGTGGCTTGGCCAAACCTGGCCAAGAGATTCTTTTGTTAGAGCCAGGAACCAAGTCCCAGGCTAACACTCCATGCACTGAGAGGGATTTCTCATCCCAGGGTTGCTCAGAGCTCTGGATAGACTCAGATACATTCAGATGAGACTTTCCATGCTATGCTTACAAGTTTTGATTCAAAGTCCTGGACAATGGCAGCCCTGAGTCCTGAGTACCTCTGTCAGAACTGTGTGGCCACTTTTGTTCACCCTAAAGTGATGGCAGAGAATAAAGGAAGAGGAAGAAAATGTATTTCCTGTGAAATATTTCATCTTTTTTAGATTCCTCCTTTGGATGCAACAAGAACAAGCACCAAAAAAATGTTACGCCAATGTGCAACACTGGAAAGCGTACAGTGATGATCATGGAAATAATCAACAAAATACACAGCCTGTGTAAGCCATACAGTGCAGTACAACAAATGGCAACCATATGAAGCTTTCTTACTGTGGAGAATGTATCTGGTCCCAGGTTTATTGCTTCTGAGACAATGGACTACTGTAAGATCACAGCAACCAGCTTCCTGGAAAAGTCTGCCAGCTACAAATAATATGTGCATAAATATCTCAATCAGTAAGTACTTATGCATCTTGTACATGCCAGTTGTATAATACAGTTATCGACAGAGCAAGTACTATTCTCAGGAAGAGTTGTGTGATAATTTGAAAGCAGACTGGCCTTGCAAAATGGACCCGTAGTCTGCTGCTTAGGTTGAAGTAGACATGCTCTGCCTCTCTGTCTTCATTTCCCACATGTTACAGTAAGGAAAGGATGGAAGAAAATAATACAGGAGAATAAATATATCCTTGCTTCCATTCCTCATATCCCTGCTTTGAGCTGCTGTGCAGCTCTAGGGAGTCAGGAGTACTAAAGTCCTACCAGGTTCTTCTAAAAGCAAAGTGAAATATCCAAGGATTTCAAATGAAACTTAGACCCCTTGAGCTTCTTCCTGCTCAGATGCAGACTGATAGTGCACATCCTGCACAGCACAGTCATCTCTTGCTCAGTGGCCAAAAAGGGCAAGTAAGCTTATTTGATGGATCAGTCTCTATATCAATTTTGAACCAATGAAATTTTTCATCTAGGCTTTGTCAAAATCAGCCTCAGATATATGTCTCTGTGTGTCTGTGCACCCACATGTGAACCCACATGTGCACCTGTGTCTATCTACAGAAAACAAAAGTGAAAGTGTACTCACCTGGGATCCTGTTGAGCGTCACCCAGAAGTGCTCATCAGGGCTGTAGGTGTCCTCAGACCAGGCCAGCAGATCAATGGCACGCTGATCCTGAAGCACAAACTCTACAAAAGGCCGGGTGAGGGCCACGTATGCAGAGCCAAAATAGACGGTCAAGTTGTGCGGCGGAGGATCTTTGCGCACAAATGTCCACAACATGAAAGAAAAGAGAGAATACAATTGCTCCCTGTGCACATATTTGGTGCGTGCAGTGACATGGGGGGGAGGCAGCACCCCAGGGGTGATGTTCTTCCCCCCGAGACCCTTCAGCCGCTGAACAATCTCCCTGTTGGTCTTCAAGGGGAAGTCCTGGCCGCAGGTGTTGATCAGGTAGTGCCAGGGCACGGCTGAGGCCAGCAGATCTCTCATGCAGTGGAGGTCAGCCCGCAGGCGAGAGGCACCACCGTAGACCACCCGCTCTGCCCGAGAGGCAAGGAAGGCATTTGGGAAGCAGCCCACCAGACGTTGCACTGCCTGATGGAAAGGGGCTGGTGCCTTGGTGTCCACATGGACACAGTAGACATTCTGGGGCATGTACACCGCCCTGAAGAGCCGCTCGAAGGTCTCGAAGTCCTTGTGCAGGGTCATAACGTAGGCGATGGGGAAGGCAGCCTCCTCGGCTGAGAGGGCGCGGGTGATGTAGTGGTTCTGCGTGATGTATTCCATGCAACCGAATTCTCTGAATGATGTTTTTAAGGTGTTTTCCTTCAGAAAGAGCGCCTTATCCTCAGTAAGTGCTTTACAGGCTTCTGCTAAAGTTGAACTCATCGAGAAGTTCAGCCTCCTCAGAGATTTTTGTGCATGCAAATTAATAGCATAGAAAACAAGTGGAAGTGAAACACTGAGAATCAGGACAGCAAAGAAGCAGTATCTGAGGGTATTCATTGCTGCTCAGAAAAAGTCTCACTTGAAATATTGCAGAGAGGTCGGATCAGACTCCACAAACATGTTGTTTTGCTCTCTGCGCTTGCTTCCTGCCGGAGAGCGCACGCATCTGTTTGATACATAGTATGCGTCTGCTGCTCTTACTTTCAATACTAATAGCTTTGCAGTCATCATTGGTGTGGCAGCAGCATAAGTAGCAAACAGTTTGCAGATGAAAGTGGCTTTGCAGTACCTTGAAGATTAAACAGAGGAATTGCATAATTACTGTCTTGCTAATGAAGCGTCAGCACCACATATTTCACAGTGTCCCTGAATTCAATTTATCAGTATGTTTTAATCTTGTTTTTATCTTGTTTTAATCTGCTCCCTCCCTAGTCTCCCTGCATGCATCATATAGTTGTAAAACTTTCTGTGTGTGCACCTGTGTCAGGAAAACCTTATATTTACTTCTTGTATCATTCTATTGTTTTATTTATAGGAATTTTTCTTTGAACTGTCAAGTCTATCAGTCATTGTTGCTTCAGAATTATGAAAAGCTTGTTCAGTACACTGTGCTAACATGTAAGGTCACCAACACTCACAATAAAAAGCAGGAGAGTATTTTTTTCCTCTGTGTAGAGTTCTATCAGACTATTAGGATTTTGCAACAATGTTTTCTTCATTTGTAAATTTGAAATCATAGAATCATAGAATGTATTGGGTTAGAAGGGACCTTAAAGATCACCTGGTCCAACCCCCATACCATGGGCAGGGACACCTCCCGCTAGACCAGGAAATCTTCCAGAGAATTTAGATGCCTCTGAAACTATCTGCCCAGATGCCTCTAAAACCCTGGTTTTGGCACTCTGTAATGTATTACACAGCTAGGAAGACTTTTAAGAACTTAAAATACAAGTATTTATACATGTGTGTGTGTGTGTCACGAACTGTTCATAAAGTGAATGTCTCAACTCTAAAGGAATGGTTTGTGACTAAGGAACTAGGAAAAAGATGGGATGAATTCAGCGGACGCAGAGCGGCAGTGGCATACAGCAGAAAACAGAATTTCCTGCCATGCTGGGTCCTGTCTCACAATACATTAATTGCCTTTAATGAACTGTCTTTACTTATTGTGTATAAGTACTGTATGCCTTACCAATGACCGTGCCCTTGAAGAGGAGCTAAAAGACTGATAAAAGGAGAATATCTTGGCCAAAGAGGCACTGAAGGCTAGTCAGTTGACCAAGGAGGATGCAGTCAGCAAAAGTTGTGAAAACTGGGGGAAAGGTAATTGCAGCAAGAGGAGATCATGACCACTGACTCACGGCCCACCAACTCAAGAAACCCTCCGACCCAAAAGAAGGGGAACACTGCGCATGCAAATTAATTAGCATGGAAAGTGAGAGACTAATTATCCATTAGAAAGTATATTAAGTAACTTTGCATCAATTGATGTAAGTTTAGGCAGAGATTTGCTAATTATGTATCCAGACAAATAGGCAACAATCCCTGTTTATGATGCTAGCTTTGTGGAATTACCATCTAGCACCCAGCTTTGCAAACCTGTAATAAATGAGCTACCACTGCTCTGTGTGTGTATTGGCTTTGCACATCAGATACTGAACCCCACTTGAGGGACTTGTATAGTAAAACAGGCTGAGTGAGAGGAGAATGCATCATTACAAGAGCTGGCTAAGAACTTACAAGCAGAATTAGAGGCTGAGTGGAAAAAGCAGATGGAAGCAGAGGTAGCCATGAACAGTTTGCAAAGTCAGCTGTGTAACAGTTTCATGAGGGAGCAAGGGTTGCAGTTAGAATTAGCAGAGGCACAGAAAGAGGATTTTGAAAGTGAGTGTGGGTATTCTAGCTTATCTAAAGAATGCCAGATGGTTAACAGGGAAGTAGCTAGCCACTACCCCTGAGAGAAAATGGAGCGGATAAAGCTTAAAGGTGAGGAGAGAACTGATACTCAACTCTGCCCACTTATTAAAACGGAATTTCAGTACAATGAGGGAGCTGATGCTGCACCAGAAATCATAATGAAAGAAATACCCTATAGTGCAACTGAACTGGTGAAACTGCAGGAAAAATATAGAAGGCTTCCTAGAGAGATGGAGACAGAATAAGTGTGGAGGGTTTCACTCATGGGAAGAGACAGAGTTAAACTTTATGAAGAGGAGGCACTGCAACATTGCGGTTCAGGTGTGTTTCTAACAGTCCCAGACACTAGGGTTTCCTGGTCTCTATTCTAGAGGGCAGCACATTGGGCCAGAGGACTAGATTCCTTGGAGCAGACATATCTGGTAACCATGCCCACTCTGAGGCTGGACCAAATTACTGAAAATGTACTGAAAGCTGCTTATCTCCAGCTTATGCATGACAGGTGTCTAGTAACTGGAAAAACAAGCTCTCAAAACTTTTGGGGTTTTTGGTTTGGGTTTCTTTTGTGTTTTGGAGTTGTTTTTTTAAAATAGTTCTTCCTTGTGCTGATCTTTTTGAAGTAAGATCCATATATTGGAATAAAGACAGAAATCATACATGGGGGGCAGGGGGAGGAGTAGGAAAACAGAGAAATAGAGTGTACAAATCACATGAGCCACCTTAGTGGAAAAACTCTAGTGTATTGGTGAGCTGTAGATTTTGCAGACTCATCTGAAGTTCCTATGCAGGGAGAAGCCAAATCTAGATGTAAATCTGAACCATATTATGGCAAATGTCAAAGAGCAGCAAAGTTTCAGCAGACCTCATAATGTCCATGGCTTCTCCTGTTGTGAATTGTGCTGGACCTCAGCATATTTTGGGTGCAAAACCAGAGTTATGGAATAAAAAGATAACAGAAGATCAAGTTTACCATGCTATTTGACAGAGGCTACATAAGAGGGATCTGTGCTGGTAGAACTAAAACTGTTGCTTGCAGTGCAGCTCCTTTTTATTTTTCCCTGAGCCTGCATTGTAAAAATTCTCATTTTAGTATGAGAATCCTAGTAGGATTAGCAAGTGAAATGGCTTCCCTGTGGACCCATGGGAACGCTTTTTCAGACAACGAGGATGTTATCTTAGGAATATAGTTAGCACTCAGTAAACTGCTCCTAGCCTTAATCAATATAGGTAATTGGTTTCAGCTAATTTGTCAGCTAATTAAAAAGCAAGATGCACAGGCTTTGCACAACGGTTTGGAGTTCCTGTTTGGCCTTGGTCAGTAGTGACAAATGTTATACATTTCATGCCTACTTGGAATCACTTGGCGTTTTCTGTTCTATTGTTAGGACAAAATCATCTGTATCATGACATTCCTTTTCATGACCCTTGCATGCAAAGCTGTCAGTTTGAGTAGGCATCACTGTTAAAATCACAGCAAGGCCATTCCCAGCAAACAATTTCTTCTCAGTGTTGGTTTTTTTTGTTTTGTTTTGTTTTGTTTTGTTTTGTTTTGTTTTGTTTTGTTTTGATTTTCTGGTTAGGAAATGCAGATAGCCACAGTCCACTATTTTGAGCCCAAGTAAAGGATTTCCTCCTCCTTCATACCTTCTTGCACTAAGATGAATCTGCCTCTGTCTTTTGCTACTCTGGGATGCCATGCAACATGCACAATCTCCCCAAAGCTCTCCTCTTGGAGCAGCCCTGCTTGGAAGCAAACTTCTCTAATACGTGCCTTACTCACTTGCCCTGCCTGAGCTGGAAGGTATTTACATACTGTATAACAC